GGTTTTAATGTATATCTTTATTTAATTGTTCATCTCAAATTAGATTGATACCATTATCACATTAAGCAATATGGTGCCTTAACAGATGCTGGAGCACTACTTACTTTTGGATGGGGACTCTATGGACAGGTAAGATGCCGTATTCATAATTCAATTGTAACATTCTAGCATTGAATAGTTTGGCGCAGTTCTGTTAAAGAATATATTCTCAAATTAGATTGATACCATTATCACATTAAGCAATATGGTGCCTTAACAGATGCTGGAGCACTACTTACTTTTGGATGGGGACTCTATGGACAGGTAAGATGCCGTATTCATAATTCAATTGTAACATTCTAGCATTGAATAGTTTGGCGCAGTTCTGTTAAAAGAATATATTCTCTCAAGTTTCCCCAAGGCTTAGCACTGTATTATTTTTTACTTGAGTTGGTCATTCATCAATCATCACATGACCAAAAAAATCCCCCAACTGAGGAGGTACCAGGAATAAAAAACTAACAGATGCTCTTGTGTTCCATCATCAAAGCAGATTATGGTGCTAATCTTTATCAGCACTGTCCTTTTCCTATGTGAGATTCTAATCATATCATAGTTTAGGTGTCAATTATATCAACAGTAATATATTGAAACCATTCCCACCTATCTGTTCCCCCTTGGATTTATTTTTTCTTAAGTTTATTAGCTTAACAATAATCACCTACGTCTATTGTAATTCTATTATCTCCCCCCCTGCCCCCCGGTCTATTTGCCTAAAAGTGATCTTCTATTATGGATGGATGTGCTTCACTTGAAGCAGACGTTGCTCCTTTTCTTCTGTTAATGATACTTAATTAATTGTATATTCAAAAGCTTGAGAAAGGTTAACTGATTATGGCCTTCATTCATTCAAACATAGTCCGCTTCTTCAACTGGCATGTTCAGTGTTTCAATCTTTCTATCCATCCCTGACAGTGATTGGAATTTCTCAAATTAACTATTCTTCAGGATCGGTATGTAGGTAAAGTAGAAACTGGTGGAGAAAAAAGCTCAGTAAACTTGAAGATGAAGTTCAATCTAATAAGGGATAATCTTCTCAATTCCTTTTCCTATATTCATCTCTCCTCTGCTAGATAAAATGGTTATTCTGTCCTCAAGTGTTGTGATTTAGGAGTTAATTTTTTATTATTGTTTTTTCAAGTGCGGGCAAGGAAATACAGATGATGAACTAAGCCCAGCTTGTGTATCTTCCTTACTGGGCATTAGGATAAACTCGGTTGCTGCAGGACTCTGGCACACAGTTTGCGTGTCAGCTGATGGTGATGTGTATGCGTTCGGTGGGAATCAGTTCGGGCAGTTGGGAACCGGAGGTGATCAGGCCGAGGTATGCACTGTGTTTCAATTCTTTGAATTCCATATTTTCCTCCAGTGATCTTTTTTCCCGACCGCAAGAAAGTTTCTGCACTAGTCTTATTGTTTGAATTTCAAAATCAGACTCTCCCAAGGCTCTTGGATGATCCGAGTTTGGAAAATACGCATGTAAAATTTGTCTCGTGTGGGGCTCGACACAGTGCTGTACTCACAGGTATGCTGGCCATGCATTTTTGGAATTCTTCGCTGTTTCATTTTTTGCCTGCCTGTTGACTCTGTTTTGGTTGCTTGAAGAGGACAGCAAAGTATTCTGCTGGGGATGGAAAAAGTATGGCCAGGTATCATGCTCACTCTGTTCAGTGATCAAACTAGCTGGCAGCTCGATTTTATAACACTATCCTTCGATATCAAATCAATTTTCTTTTAAATCTGTATTTTAGGGAATAATCCTAGAGATTTTACGCACTCGTTAGTGCTTCAAAGTAGGATAATCGGTAGTTTTGCATCTTCCCTTCTGTTACGCGTTGTTGCGGTCTCAAACTAAAATCCTAAGTTGGTGTCTGAAACAGCTCGGCCTCGGTGACGTGATTGATCGCAATATCCCTTCTCAAGTTATCATAGACACTTGCAGCCCGAAAAGCATCGCATGCGGATGGTGGCATACCTTGCTTCTAGCGGAGTCACCCACCTGAGTACCTTGACCCAGGTCTCGGAACAGTTTTGTTATGTTAGCATTCTTTCAAGTCGATGCATTATCTAAGTTTTTTTTTTTATAGAAGTTGTCTCATTAAAAACTCCCTTCATATTCGTCCACATACTAAGAAGTATGTTAAAGAACATTGGAAGGAAGAAAAGAGTACCTCATAGTTTATTAATAATAGTATCGAATACATATGGATACACGAAATATTCTCAAATGGAGAAATACACCATTACAACAAACCAGAAACACCTAAATCTCTCACTTCCTCAACCAGAAAATCCCATCGACAAGTATCTTTTTCTAATTTACACCTACAACGCAAAAGAACAAAACACAAAAGAAAACCAACACCTGCAATCATTAAACTAAATCAAAGACCCAATTGAAGAAACGAGATTTAATGAGTATAGACTTTTTCAGGGACCCAAGAATTTGGTTTGAAGGAAGGCCCAATTTCACGCACCATGCTTTTGAATGAGTTAGTACCGACCTTCAACTCTAACGACTCGTCAATTTTCAAATTTTCCTTTGTGAGTTTTTGAATTTTCGCCTGATTAAAAGATGATGGTGATTGATAGCTTTCGTCGATTGCTAATAAATTACCCCACTTGTCTGCAATGTTTTTGAAAGTATCACAATTCCAAGCGTGAAAAAGGAACTCCCTCGCAAACTAATAATATACTAAACTTTCTGACCAGGCTTCAATTCTGGAGAACCACTTAGCGAGAGTTTGTGATTCATCATTCTTCACACTTCTCAAGGAAGAAGAGTCTTCAAAAATCATAAGTACTGCATTTTCAACATCTCTCATTAATGAGAAACCAATGAGTCCATTGGCTTGCATTTGACTAGCGAGATTACCGATTTTGATAAAGTCTTTGCACCAACCCACTAGATATTTACTCAACACGTGGAATTTATCCTCGTCCATAACACCTTCAACTTCATTATGATTATTCCTCGAAACAACTTTCATCCCCGATTTGTGGTGAATAGTTGTAGAGGTCTTTCTCCAAAAAGAATGTCGAGGTTTAAATTTAGCTAAAGAAACACTAATTTTGCTTCCGTCAATATAGAAGCCATTCATTTCTGAGATTACTTTCCTTGCTTCTTCGATTTTTGCAAAACTAATGAACCCAAAATGAACCCCTTTTTAATTTCTTTTGTTAGGAATGAAATCATCAATAATCGGACCGTGGGTGCAAAAAAAGAGATCCAAACATCTTCCAATGGATCTTCCCTAGTAAATTTTCGATAAATAACGTGTAACAACCACTTCTGTACCCATTACGGATTTTCGATTTCCACCAATTGTGAAACTCGATTTTCCTCCTCCTTGCTTCTTCAGACGACTTTTCATCAAAATACCCCTTCGTATGCATTTTTCCACTTGATCTCGACTTAACCTTACCCCTTCTATCTCCATCGCTCAACGACTGCTTTCGACTACCACCATTAACAATTTCTTTCTCAACAGGTGTATCCCGTCAGTCACGGCCCTCGGCGAGTTTTTGGAGACGTTATGCATGTTCCGATTCTTTCAGGGCTGAGGTTCACCATGACTAGGACGACTTTCACAATCGAGATGTAAAATATAAGTAGGCCCATTGTATATATTTGTAGCTTTCATACATATATATATATATATATATATATATATATATATATATATATATATATATATTTAAAATTCAAACTATACTATCATTAATTGTTTATGTAATGTTATTTCCTCATATATGAGGAGTTTCTCCAGGGTGATTTCTCATTTCACTACCAGAAACCTACCTATGTTGAAGCAGATTTAGTAAACACTTTATCCGATGATGGCTCGGACAGCAACCGGTGACCACCATCAAGTTTCACTTCCCCGGAAACCAAACAGGATTTTCAGTCAGGCAAGTAGAGATATATTAAAATTACGAAGATAAATGACTATGGTTAAAAGGAGTTTAGGGTTTGCGTTTGATAAATATGGAACATTTTATGTACGAGTTGAAGTGATTTTTTTATTTATTTAAATTCACTTAAGTAAATATAAGATATATAAGTTTAAACTTCGTTATTTTAGAGATTGAATTTTAATTTAATTAATTTTATTTGTTAATGTGCTAATAGAAAATATGATAATCATATTTAAATGTATTTGTAGCTTTTTTAAGGAAAGTCTATGTCTGGTATGACGTAATTTCTTTTTATCTCTTTAAAATGAAACGGAAGATTCCATTGTTAACGTGTATATGATAAATGATAACACATTAAATAATTAAAAAGTATAAAATATGACAAGATTTCATGGATTGTCAAATTATTTAGTTAACTGAAATAAGACTTTTAAAACTCCACCAAGCTTGAAAGCTACTAGGATAGATTGAATTTTCTAATTTCATATTTTCATATATTAAACGAAAAAAAAAATCTTAATATATATGTATACTGAGAAATTTATTTATATCATCATATTCTATGGATAATATTCCATAATTGGAAATAATTTCTTTTTAACTCAATCCACATCCTTTAATATCAATTGGACACATTTCACCATGAGTCACTATCTTATTAATAAATTTACATCGAGTAACTATATTTCAGAAAGTTACAATCAAGTCACTTAATTAATTAAAATTATAACAATAAGGCCATTGTGTTGTTAAATTTGAAACAGACGTTAACTTTTTGTTTTCATGAGTATTATATCGAGCTGTTCAATTTAATGAATATTTTATAACATTTAAAAAATATTAATTAATTTATAACTTTTAAAAATTTAATAATTAAAATGATCGTTGAGATATAATTTAGTAACTTCTTATGTACTTTATTCCTAAACGTTTAGGAAATTTTCTTAACCTTAATGATACAGGTATTTACAAATATACCCTCGGGATTCAACACATTTAAAAACACAAACGTATCCTCTTCAATTCAATCATCACAAACAAAAATGGCGGTAACGTTTAAGCTCCTTTCAACAGCGCTTCTTCTTATAACGTGCGCTGCCGGCTTAACGCTCGCCGTCAACCGCTGTCCGGACTGCGGTCCCACCGCCTTCCCTTACCCTCTCTCGACCGGTCCCACCTGCGGCGACCAGAACTACAAAATCCGCTGCGACGCGGGCTCACTGATCTTCGACACTCTCATTAATTCCTATCCAATCACGTCCATTGATCCTTTGAATCAACGGATAGTGATTCAGCCGGCGAGTCTCGTGCCGAACACGTGCATCACGACCGACCTCCCCTTCAATGGCGTGCAGCTCAACAGCAGCTTGCCTTTCAACATCACCAGCGGAAACACCATTATGCTCTTGAACTGTACGGATTCTATACTCCGTTCTCCGTTGGACTGTTCCGCTACGGGATTGTGCCACGTGTACGTCAACGAGACTTCGAAAGCTATGGCTTGTGAGGCGGCGCCGATCTGTTGTACGTTTAAAGCCGGCGGGAGTGCGACGGCGTACGCCATTCGGGCGAGGGAAACCGGGTGTAGGGCTTACACTAGCTTCGTTAACTTGAAAACGAATTTGCCGGTGAATCAGTGGCCTGAACCGGGGATGGAATTCCAGTGGGTTTCGCCGCCTGAACCAATATGCGGTACCCAAGTGGACTGTGATGAGAACTCCACTTGTGGACCCGACCCGAATTCAAATGGGATCCGGAGGTGTTTATGCAATTCCGGGATGTATTGGGATCCGATTAAAGGGGTTTGCGCTGCGAGTGGGTTTGGTTTAATTTGATTGGACTATTATGGATTCAACTGGACAGTTCAATTTTATTGAAAAATTACGAAACCTAAATTAAACAATGAAAATGCTCTAACAAAAACATCAAAAATATTTTTTTTTATCGATTTTAACAATTTATTTAAATTTCGGATACAGTCGATTTTAATAATATCACTATATCATTAAATTTGAAACAAACATAAATTTTTTGTTTATATTTTGATCCCTCAATTATGAATAAGTTTACATCTTGGTTACTTTATTTTAATTGCGAGTTAACTTTTAGGTTGCTTTTGATTTAAGTTATTTTTTATAACAATTTGTTTCAAATTTTAAATCAAATTTAAGTCATCATATTTGAGTTTATATCAAATCTCAAATCAAATTAATCATTCGAATAATTAGGTTCAAACCTAGTGATTTAATGCATGATACAAGGAGAAGTTTAAGCCTTTGAATCAATCACTTCCAAAACTATCAATTGGCATAAATCGGTAACATAACAAAAAAGCTATCCAGGAACCAGGAATTCAACTAAAATAAATAAAATAAACAGAACACAAGTCATGCAGGAACATAAACTTGAAAGAAAATAAAACGGGGAAAACGGCCAAAATCTGAACTTTCAGACAGTTGAATGCCACTGTTGACAATGTTAGAGAGAACACGCTAAACCCCATGAAGATGATAATCTTTCTAGTTTGTTCTTGGGGTCGCCCACTCAACTTGAAGGATGAGATTGTCGTAACCATATCCATTCAGCTTGTTAATAGCTCTCTGGGCGTCCCCTCTGTTCACAAAGTTCACGAAACCAAACCCTCTACTTGTGCCCGTCTTTTGATCCATTGCAGCATACACATGAGTCACGACACCGAATGGTCAGAACAGTTCATGCAAGTCGGGCTCCCGGGTGTCCTCAGATAAGTTGGTTACCCTCACAGAGTTTCCATCGTTCCTACGTCTCATCTGATCGAGTGGTTCTCTCTGCACCAGCTCTCATGCTTGGTGGGACGTAGGCTCCCTTTCCAGCTCCGGGAGCAGCCACAGAGGCCTCGGACACTGCAGGTTTCTCGACAAAGGTTTCAACTGGAGCTGCAAGATCCTTGTAAGGACATTTGGAAGTCCAGTGATCACCTTTTTTTGCCACATGTACAGCACACTATAAGCACAGGACCTCCTTTGCTGAGCTGAGCCAAGCTGTCCCCTGCAACCTTCATTTCTTCCTGTTTGGTACCTGTAAACAATTCGATATTCCAAAGGTTTTTAAATCCAAAAACCAAAAAAGGGATAAAGACCCAAATTTTTGCAAGTTCTTGTTTCATAATCATAGATACAAACAAACTCGCAGATTTTAGAAAACAAATGTTTCTCGGATGTTGTTAATGGCCTTGGAATGAAATCAATAACTTGTCACAATTCAACAATCAAAGATGCAAATGCAATCGGCTGCCCCATGACCATTCCACATTAAATTACAGTCATTTGAAATACAAAACCGAAAACGAAATATACAAGCATTAATTTTAAACAAAGAACCAAGTAATTGAACAAAAACACGGGTGAAATTTTAGCGACGAATGTAGTTAATGGCTCAAAAGTGAAAAATGCAGAGTTCCATTTCACTGTGTAGAAAGGCCATGAACAATTGCAATCGGTGGCTTACTGACCATTCACACAAATCAACAGCCACAACGGCCAATATGTAACTGGCTAATTAACCAACATAACAAAACGATTCAAATCAAGCTCGTTTTAACCGCTGCTTTTACAAATTGCTAGCAATGTTCTCGAAAGTTGCCTATACAGAAAAAGAAGACAATTGACTGAAAATGAATAAGACGACTGCACTGGAACTCGAGATCTATCATTGTTATTCCATATAAAGATGAAATCCTGCATTACATTATCCAATAAGATCACAATTCTGGTTTTTGATTCTTCAAGGATGATAATTGCTCAACGCCAATCTAACAAAATTGTTCCATAAAGTTAAATCACAATTTTCTTTGGCCAATTAATATCCAAATGCAATATAAAAGCAATCAAATCCAAATAGAAGAAACTTAACAACACTCAAATAAAATAATATTCACCAAAAATCAATCCAAAACAGAAGAATTTTAATAATTATTAGATCCAAATAGAAGATATTTAACAATAATCAAACCCGGATATGAGAAATTTGGCAACAATCAATCATAATAGTCTAACACTTCAAACATTATATATTCAATTTAATCAAATCTAAAATAAACCACACAAAACCAATAAAATTTGATGAAAAGAGTAATTAGAATCGAACCAGGGGCTCTAGGCCGTTCGAGAAGGATCTCTTCAGTTGAAACCATTGTGAGACGACTCCCAACATCTTCACGCACCGCATCGCCGAACTTCTCCCAATTCCTCCTCTCCAACGCCTGTTTACTCAAACGGGCCTTCGCCAGCTTCCGGACTTGGGTCGTCGTCGTTATTTTGAACTTATTACCTTCTTCGTTGAACTTGTATTCGATCACCTTTTTGATCCCGTTTTCATCCTGGCCGATAACTTCCTTGGGTAGTAACAAGAAGTCCAGATCGTCGTCTTCCTCTAGCTCTCCCTAACGGAGCTTGTAGGTTCGTTTTTGTCGATCGCCATAATTAGGGTTTCGCGGGATCTTAGAGGGAGGAGCGGAGGCTATTTAGATTAGACGAGTAGATGCGAGGGCTTTTGATACTTTTAGATGCATGTTACGACGTCGTTGCTTTCCTCTCATAATTGTGGGTACACAATTTTTTAGGTTAATTATTTTCATTTGGATAAATTTTGTATTAACCAAGTAAGCTGAGAAATTACTACATTATTACAATGAATAATGGCTCGCCTGTAAAAATATATTATACAGAGTCCAATATTTACAGGTTTTCTCTATATTATACAATCTAATTAATAGTTCGAACCTTTTTTTTTAATCGTCGAAAATTCATCTCTGACCAAACTACGATATAAGTTTTAAAGGAAGACTTACTGCGAGACAACTTTAGCACTAACAACACTTAAATCTTGAACCTTCAAAAAAAAAAATCTTAAAAATCTTACACATAATTGACTTATTGCCACTCGAGAAACTATATTTCTCATCCTTTGACTTGCCTTTATCACGAATTCTCTCATCACTACCCTCGGCTTTCAGCATTGCCTTGGAAGTCTTGCTCTTATTGACTCCAAATTCTCTGATGGACTCGGCGATTGTCAAGGCTTTAGACAATTCCTTGACTTCCCTTCGCTCCAACACTTTCTTCGCCCATGGCTTCAATCCGAACATAAAGGTAAAAAACCCATTTTCTTCAGTCAAACTCGAGACTATGAGTATGAGCTTTCTGAATCGACTCACATACTCCTTAAGTGTCCCTTTATGCCTGAGATGCCTTAACTTGGACCGCGCCTTCATCCTGGCATACTGTGAGTGAACTTGCTCACTTTTCACCCTCGATTTGACGACTTTATCTTTCGCTATCGCACTGGGTCTCTTCCTGTACTTGACTGCTTTGATACATGTAGTCTCGTCACGTCTCGATCTTGGATTGACTACTTTGGAACTTGTAGTCACACCACTTTCTGGTCTGGCGACCTTGACATCTGCAATCACGTCAGGCCTCTTTTCGGGTTTGGTTACCTTAATATCCGCAGTCATACCTTGTATTTCTCTTGGCTTTGCCATATTGACACTCGCAATCGATCCAAGTCCCTTTCTTGGCTTGGCTGCTTTCTCACTTGCACTTGCGTCATTTTCCTTCTTGACAACATTAACACTCGTAATCGCGCCAAGTATTGCTACTCCTCCTTTTGGCTTGCTTATTACCCTAATGATGGTAGTAAGGTGACTTTTCTCGGGACATTCTCTAATTAAATGAGGACCATCATAGAAGTAGCACTTCAACTTTTCCTTGCTCGCCTTTTTCTTCACACCGGACTTAGCCTTGATATTTTTTCAGATGGTTTTCCTTGGATACAAACAGTCGATGGCTCACCTTGGCCATTCAAAGAGATTCATTTGCCATCTCTTATCTGCACCTCTTCCCAATCTCCCCACTACTACCACTATCCCTGAGCATGGGCCTGGATGACACAACGCTAGTTGGCTTGTCTCTCGCAAGCTCGGTCAGCTTTCCAGCTATATCTATGGCCTCCGAAAGTCTCTGGGCATCTCCTTGCTCTCCCCTGAGCATCGCCACGGGTCTGAGTCCCTCCAAGAAGGTCTTGAACACACCCCATTCAATCATGGCTCCCTTGCATATGAGGAAATCCTTCTTGAGCTCATCCACCTCAGCTTCATAGGCATTACTCCCTTAAGCCATCTCCAAATCGTTGAGAACCTATTGTACCTCGTCCTTGGACATGTCCTCGATGAACTCCATTTTGTCAAGACAGGATTTCACAACACCATCGGGTCTCCTTAGCCTCTTCCTCAACTTTTTCAAGTATTATGACCCTCATTTCCAACGAAGTTGATATCTCCTCCTTCTCCTTCTTTAGAGCCAACATCTCGGCCCTACCATAATCACATACTTGGGTCGGATTCTCTTCGAGCTGATCAAGAATCTCTTGAACATCGTCCTTGATCGAGTGCATAGACTCTTCCAAACTAGTGACCCTCTTTTCTATAGAAGAACCAATATCCCTTATATCATATATCTAATATTTACAGTCATTACCTCGACTGTACAAATCCTCGATGTAATCCTCAATGGGTCCTATCCACTTTTGATTTCCACTATGGTTCTCATCACCTTTTCGTGCATAAACTTCTTCTCTTTTGCCTGCCATCTCAAACACTCTTTTGCCACGAACTAGTTCAGTCACCCTTGACTAGCTCGAACACAAATCATTGCCAACTTGACTACAAAAGCAAATTGATTGAACAATAAGTAAACTTAACTTACCCAGTTACCATATTTCACCAAACACGAACAAAACGATCGTTGTCTGGCCATAATGACTCGTTTTGATACCACTTGTCACGCCCTCATAACCT